CCAATGCAGTGACTCATGCCTGTAATTGCAGCATTCTGGGAGGCTGAGGAAAGAGGATTGCTTGAGCCCAGGGGTTCAAGGCTGCTGTGAGCTGTGGCTGAGCCACTGTACTCCAGCCTGGGTGACACAGCAAGACCCTGTCTCAAAAAAAAAATAATAAAAATAAAACAAATTGAAGTATAACACTGGGCCCCACACTAAAGGGTTAGGAGAAAAAGCAGACTGTTGAGGTTAGGCAGGGAAGGCCTCCTGAGGCTGTGGCCCCTCAGAAGCTAGAGAGGATTTCAGAGGGTGGGGGCATGCAATGAGGACACATGTGGAGGCAGGGACACTGTAGCTGGTGCACAGTGTAGGGAGCAAGCAGGAGGAAGTCAGGACAAGCTGAACTGGCGGTGGGGACAGAGAGAGAGAGCATAGCTGGTCTGTCTATGAACTGGAACGGAAGCAAATAGGTTTTAGCTTTCTTGCCTATGACAATCGGCTGGTCATGCCTGCTTAGAAGGGTTTTGAGACCAGGGCAAAGCTCAGCAAGAAAATGTGCTGTGGTTGACTAGTAATGTCTGCCAGGGAAAAAGCATGGAAGAGTGATAGATGTGTATCCGCTGTTTTCCATCCTTGGGCTGGCTCCATGGGCTGCGATTGGAAAGGCACATCCTCAAGTGAGTGGCCCCAGGGACTCCATGTGGAGAGGGTGGCCAAGGTTTTGCTCTGTCACTGCTGGGTGGGGAGCTCTGAGAGAGAGGATTTATGTTGGTCTGTGCCATCTGAGTCCCCACTTCACTGTCCTGCACACTCCCTGGCATGGGGCAGGTGCTGAGAAAATGAGAATGAACAAGGAGTGGGAGGCTCCCCTCTTGGCTGGGCTCTCTCCTTTCTCCCCACTTTGCCTTCTCCAAGCAGCCTTGAGGATTCCCCACAGATCTCCCAGACCCTTGCTTCCTTCCTGCCATGTCTTGTGCTCTGATCATCCTGGGTGTGACCCTCTTTTCTGCCAGGGCTACTTGCTCCTTCAGGCCCTGCACTCTCACCAGGTCTGTCCTGCACACGTGGGCAGGAGAGGGGGCAGATGAACAGGCACGTGCCTCCCCAACCCTACAGGCAGTGTAGTGTCCCAGCTTTCCCATACTACACTGCCATCACCCAGGGCCTGGCAGGCCCATGCTGGAAAGGCAGGGATGGACTCCTCTTCCATCCAGAACCTGTTGCTACAGAGATACCAGCAACAGCCTAAGGCAAAGTGAGCCTAAGTGACTAGAGGGCTGAGGGGAGAGGAGCATGGACCCTGCCAGCCTGGTAACCACCCCTCTGGAGGATATGTCTGTGGGCATCCCTCCAATAGGAATGGCAAGAGCCCAGACGTGGGTCTGGATGTGTGTGTGTGTGTACATACAACAGAGTATGTGTGCATGTGTATTATGTATTTCTGCACACATGCATAGGTCCATATCTGTGTATTTCTATAGATGCACTTATGTGCCCATGAGCATATGTGGTTATACGAGTAGGTCTATGTGTGTTGTGCCTGTGTTGTGTGTATCCGTACATGTATATGTGTATGTGTGCAGCCAGGAGCTCTGTACAGGGCAGAGGAGTTGCCAGCCCTTCACAGTCCTCTCCTGGTCTGGCTTAGATGTTGCTGTCTGAATCCCAGCCCAGGCGGGCACCCCACTAAGGGTTGGTGAAGAAGCTCAAGGGCGAGCAGAGCAAGTTGGGGCACCTCTCCAGCCTGGTGGAGGGGCTCTGTGCAGAGGCTGGCTTAGTCTCCAGCACCAGGCACCACAGACTGGAGTGCCCGGCCCCTGCTCAGACCCAGCTCATTCCTTACAGTGGGATGTGGGACAGACCCATAGCAGAAAGCCACCTCCTTAGGACCAGGAGGGCAAGGAGCTGACTCTCCCCTCACCTCAACCTGTCCATTAGAAGCATGGTGGCCCATCTCTAAGAAATCCATGGACACCAGTGGGAAAAGGAAAATCTATTTCTTAGGCATTTGGACTGTTGACACAGCTCCTCAGTCACCCAGCCACATGAATGTGTGTTTTGGGGGGAGGGGGTGTACACTAGCTCACATCTGCTCTTAGGGACCCTCAGCTCCTCCCAGAGGAACAGCAAAGAGCCATGAAACATCCCATGGCGAGGCCTTGTGCTGCCAGGCCCTCTTCTCTGTGTGGTTCTGGGGTTGGATGTGTGCAGACAGGGAAGGCAGCTCCAGACGTGCCTTGTGGGTTCGGGCCTGGAAGCTGGCTAAACACGATAAGAAGGGATGGCAGGAGGAGCAGGCCTGAGGGAGGGCAGACTCACCCCTGGTTGTTCCAGGTGACAAGTGTGATGGCGGGTGGTGGACAGTGACTGATAGGATACAGAGCAAAGATGGGCTGAGGAGGGGACAGGGGTCGTTGGAGCACGTAGCAGGGAAACTAATCTGGGCCTGGATGATCAGAGGAGGCCTCTGTGCTCAGTGACTCTGAGCTGGGATCAGAAGGCAGGCAAAGGCTGAGGGTGATAACTGTCCAGGCAGGGAGAATACCTGTGCAAAGGCCTGGGATGTGTGGGAACGAGGGATAGCCCTGAGGGTTCAACTGTGTCCCACCTGCACTTCCCCTCCCCCTCTGAAACCAGCTCATCCCCAGGGACAGACCTTTTCTGGCAGCCTCTTTCCCATCCCCCACCCTGCCCCTCAGGGAGACCCTAGTGAACTGGGCACTCCTCTTGGGGGCCGTAGGTGAGGGAAGGCCTGAACCCCAAAGGCAGGAAAGACCACATTTCTAAAGAGGAAGCATGATTCCAAGGCCTTGCCTTGGAATCACCCAGGGCACCAGGTTCCTGCCAGGAAAGACCCTCTCCCTTGAAGGAAGCCTACAGCTGCCGCACAAGGCCCCAGACAGGGACAGCTCTGGTCTCTTGCCAGGAGTGACCACAGGCAGATTCCTGCCCTGCTGTAGGCCTTGTAAGTCTGAGATTGAGGGTTCTTCCCTCCAGTGAGAACCAAGGCTTAGGGCCTTTCCTCCAATCAACCTGCCTGGTGGTGGGCCCCTCAGAGGCCCTGGCTAATTTTCCTGCCAACCCTTTGCTTCCTCTGTCACCCCCTCCCCTCATTCTCCCTGTTCTGCACTCATCCAAATCTGCCTCTCTTTATCTCCCTATTGGAGGACACCCTCTCCTCCTGCTGTGGGAGCTTTTCTAATTCCACACATTCTCACAGATCTTTCCTCCAGGATGTATGCCCCGCTAGAGGAGTCTAGAGGGAGAGAGACAGGAGTCATTGCAGGCTAATGTGAGGGATGGCAGGGCCCATTTCCTCCCTCTAGGGTAGTTCTTCCTCATGCTTGGGCAGTGGGGGCCAGCGGGGGCAGTTTAGAGGAGGTTCCCATTTCAGCTGTTCCCTCGCTAGTGAGAGCAATGGCCCATTCCTCACCAGGCAGCCTCAGCACCATGGGACACATGCCCAGTCTCATTTGAAGACAGCATAAGCCTCCTGTTAATGTGACCGTGGCCTGCCCCTCAGGGATGTCACCCTTATTGGGCATTTGACACCTTCTTGAGCTACCATGGACCCATCTGGGGAGGGAACACCAAGACCAGTCTCTCCCCTAGAGAAAGAGGGGTCTCTGCTCATCCTGTGGTGGGCCTGGGGGAGCACTCAGACCAGCATCCAACCCCATGGTGGAGCAGAGGGGAGAGACAGCCAGGCCTGAGTGGAGGACGGAGGTTCCACTGTTGTTGCTCCAGCTCCAGGCAGTCTGGTGCTCAGGAGGCCCTCGACAAGGCTTGCTGAGTGAATGGAGCACTGCTCAGCAGCTCACTCTCCCCTGGGAGTTTGCTCAGGCCTCTTTTCTAAGTGCTGCCTCCCTCCCTCACATACAGCATCCAGCCTGCCAGCCAAGAGCCCTGGCCTCAGATCACATCCTCCCAGCCGGATGGATTCATAGATGGCTTGGGCTCTGCCCAGGCCCAGAGGAAAGAACTGTACTCAGGTCATATGTCACATCTGCAAGTGGCCGGACAGAATCTGGGTCTTGGGCTCTTGGGCCCTGGAAGCTCCTTCCACAGGCCCTGTACTCCCAGGACAACCCTGGGCGGAGAGCTGCTTCTCCTTTCACCTCTGTAGGCACCCAAACACTGCTAAGACCACCTCTGGGTGCACTGCTGTGGGCTGAGAGTGTGACTGTGGGAGAGACCCCTGCTCCTTTGGGACACAGCCCTGTGGTCCAGGATGAAACCCTTCAGGAAGACTAGCCCTCGTTTGAAAGACTGGGACGAGGGCTGCTTCTGAGCCACCGCTTTTCGTGCTTTCTGGTCGGAGGTTACCGGAAAGCTCAAATCCTGGGGTTCCAGAGGCCCTCCCTCAAGCACCACCGCTCCCCCACAGCCAGGGATGGGGGAAAGGTGTCTCAGAGCCGACCAGCCTCGGGTGGAGTAGTGGGGGCTAAGCCCCAAGGAGGGAGGGGCACCCCGCTAGGCAAAGGAATGGACCAGATGGACGGCAGGGCCCAGCCGCGAGCTCCCACCCTGGCTCTGCAGGGAAAGCAAGGCAGGTACCGCGCAAGCGCGCTGCCTGCGTCGAGACGCTTTGTTCTAGCGCTACCTGCGGATCCATTCACCTCCGCTGCCCCGCCTGCCAGCTAGTCGACGCACAGGGATGGCAGAGGCCCCGCCTACTTCCCCCGCTCTGGGTGGAACCCCTGGCGGGCCCTGCCTCCCTCCGCCACCGCCTCTTTCGGCCAGGATTGGCTATTTGCGTGGCAGGTGCCCGCCTACCGCGGAATTTGATTGGTCTATTGAGAGGGAGGCAGGGTAAGGAAAGCTGATTATAAAGGAGCATTCCCCTCCCACTCAACCCGTGGAAAAGTCACGTGGCGCTTCACTGGGCGCCTGTCACCACCCTGCTTGTAAAGCTTTCTTAAAGGGCTCGCTTTCTCTCCCCAGAGCTGGTCCTTAACAGGATTTCTCCACCCCTGCCCACGGAAGGTGACACGGCCCTGAGTTTTCCTACCCCGCCAGTCGCCCAGGTCCTGATTTCCCGTCAGGCCTGCTGGGGTGAGACGCTCCCCCTCAGGTCTGGAACCTGTGACCGTCAGGGGGGCGATGAGGTCGCCTGAAACGGAGACCGCCTAGCACAGTGCCTGGCACGTAGTAGGCGTTCAATTCCCATTTGTTGAATGAACTCGATGACTGAATGAATGGGGACGATAGGCGGGAGAAGGAGAAGTTGCTCAGCTGGACAGCCCCATCATCACGCCCCGTCCCGGGGTAACTGCTCCTGTGAATGTAGGGTGGGGGTGTCAGTCATAGGACACCCCCAGGTCCGCTCTTTCCGTAGTGCCCAGAAGAGCCTGGGAGCAAGCGCAGAATGAACCCGTGAGGGCGTCTGGGCCGGGCCCCCTAGGCGGACTGTAGTCAGCTCTGGGCTAGTCCAGGGAGCGACAGTACGGAGAAGCGGTAGGGGAGGGCCCCGCCGCGGGTCTCCGGGCACACGGGCCACAAGCGCGCCCGCGTACCCTGTGGGGAGGGGCGGTGGAGGTGCTGCGCCTTTAAGTCCGGGCGCCTGCCCCGCGGCCACGCCCCCCGGAGAACGCCTCGGCGCGCGGCCGCCGGAGCCGCCGTTTAATTGGGGCTGTCAGGCCGCGGTGCGCGCGGAGGGCCGGGCGGGCGGGACGGAGGCCGGGAGGCCGGGGCAGCGGGCGTGCAGCTCGGCGGGAGGCGGGCGCCCGGAGACGCGGCCGGGGCGCCGTCCCAGGGCAGGGCTGCCCGGCCCTGGCCCCGGGCCGCCCGCGCTCCCCATGAAAAACCAGCTCCGCGGCCCCCCAGCGCGGGCGCACATGTCGACTTCGGGGGCGGCGGCGGCTGCGGGCACCCGGGCGGGGTCCGAGCCCGGTGCGGGGTCGGGGTCCAGCGCAGGCACCGGGGCAGGCGCGGCGACAGGAGCAGGGGCCATGCCCTGCAAGAGCGCCGAGTGGCTGCAGGAGGAGCTGGAGGCGCGCGGCGGCGCGTCCCTGCTGCTGCTGGACTGCCGGCCGCACGAGCTCTTCGAGTCGTCGCACATCGAGACGGCCATCAACCTGGCCATCCCGGGCCTCATGTTGCGCCGTTTGCGCAAGGGCAACCTGCCCATCCGCTCCATCATCCCCAACCATGCCGACAAGGAGCGCTTCGCCACGCGCTGCAAGGCGGCCACCGTGCTGCTCTACGACGAGGCCACGGCCGAGTGGCAGCCCGAGCCCGGCGCTCCCGCCTCGGTGCTTGGCCTGCTCCTGCAGAAGCTGCGCGACGACGGCTGCCAGGCCTACTACCTCCAAGGTGAGGGCAGCACAGGGACTCCTTACGGGAGCGGGGCCCCCCGCGACTCCCTGACGCCCCCATTGGAGGCTCTTTCCTCTCTACGCGCTTGGCCTGCCCCGTTGGGCGCCACGTCGTCCCCGGCCCACGTCCGCCCTCCTGGAGCTGGGTCCCCGCCGTGTGGGTTTGGCAGGCGCGGGGCTCCCTCTGCACCCCTTTTCTTGGTCCGATTCGAGTGGGTGGAACAAACTTTTCCCTGCCTGGGTTTCCTTTTTTTCCTGTTGATGGGGCGACAGTATCCCCCAGGCTCCAGTGGAGCCCCTCAGAAGAGGGAGGTGCCACCTCCCGGAACCCTAAAAGCGGCAGGACATCCAAGTCCAGCCTGGAATTCGTGTTTATGGAAGGCCAGGATCAGGAAGGGCACCTTTCATAGCACCATCCTCATCTCCAGCACATGGAGACCATATGGGTTGGGGTCTCCTGGATCGAGAATTGCTTTTTACACCAGAGAATTGCCGCCTCTGGGAGGCGCTTGGGGCAGGGTATGGACAGGGTCCACGGCCCTGGCCCGGATCTTTCGGGAACTCCAGGTCCCCAGCCTGCTGCCCCAGAGCTTGCCGAAGGGAGAGGCAGCACCAGGGGGCTAGTGGCTGAGGCCGGTGTTTCCAATTAACATTCCAAAATGGCCTCTTGCTGGCAGCGGGGCAGGAGAGGAGGGGAGGCCTGCAGCACCCTCGGGCGCAGGGCCCATGCCTCACTGCAAGGCGCTCCCTATTTCTCCTATCCCTGTATAGCCCCAGTGGCCCTCCCCTGCTGCAGTTCCAAAGCTGGGGGGCCTTGTGTTCTAAGGGAGTGCTCTAGAGAAGTGGAGCCAGGACCCTCTACAGGAACCTGCCCCTGCTGGGGAAAGGGGCCAGCCAATACCCTCCCACTACCCTCCCCAGCTGTAGTTTTGGGGCTGGACAACCACTAGACTCCCATCCAGGAAGCCCAGGATCTCTTTGCCTCTAGCTGACCCAGATGTGGCTCTGGCACCTGTGGTATCATCTGTAAGAGGAGTTTGCCAACCCAGAGGTGCTGGCTAAGATGGGGTTGTCTGCTTTCCTTTACCACTTATCTGTTACTGAACACCCATGGGTGCTATGTGTGAGTGGGAGCTGCAGAAGAGAAATTAGCTGGGGCCTGTCCTCAAGTGCCCTAAAGCTGGTGGCATGGCTGGGGGACCTGAAGTGTTATGGGTGTGGATTTGGAGTCCAGGCACGTAACTTCACCTCCTGGGGCCTCAGTTTCTGTGAAGTGGTCATGGTTTAGATGGAGAGAACACAAGAGAGAGCACACGGGTAACATGCTTGGCATGACCCATGCTGACCATCGGTGTGGCGGTGCTTGGTGTGGGGAGTCCTGCCCATCCCTGGTCTAGTGCAGCCATCTGGGTACTCACCAATCTCTCACCCAGGCCTTGTCTAACCCCGGCCACAGGTGGTTTCAACAAGTTTCAGACAGAGTACTCTGAGCACTGCGAGACCAATGTGGACAGCTCTTCCTCGCCGAGCAGCTCACCACCCACCTCAGTGCTGGGCCTGGGGGGCCTGCGCATCAGCTCTGACTGCTCCGATGGCGAGTCAGACCGAGAGCTGCCCAGCAGTGCCACTGAGTCAGACGGCAGCCCTGTGCCATCCAGCCAACCAGCCTTCCCTGTCCAGATCCTGCCCTACCTCTACCTTGGCTGTGCCAAGGACTCCACCAACCTGGACGTGCTCGGCAAGTATGGCATCAAGTATATCCTCAATGTCACGCCTAACCTGCCCAACGCCTTCGAGCATGGCGGCGAGTTCACCTACAAGCAGATCCCCATCTCTGACCACTGGAGCCAGAACCTCTCCCAGTTCTTCCCTGAGGCCATCAGCTTCATTGGTAGGTGTTGTGTGATGGGCAGGGTGGGTGGGTACATCAAGGTGTAGCAGGACTCAGGGTGGTGCCCCCACCTGACTGGGTATCTCTGGGCCTGTTGAGACCTGTGTTTGCCCTTCGTGTGCCAGCGTGTACCTTTGGGTGTACCCATGCCTACTGTGAGTCACTGAGTCCCTTGGGCCCCTCTACCTGTTGAGGCCTGAGCAGCCTCCTGAGACCTGACCTCCCCCCAGCTGGCAGCACCTCTTGGGCTCTCTGCTGTCCAGCTTTGTTTCCCTGGCGTCGATGTTGTTTTGAGCTTAGCAAGCTGAAACATCACATCGCACAGACCTCTCACGGGTCCCACTTGCTCTGCATCACACCTCAGCACACATGTCTCTCCAGGATGGGGCTGTCACAGTGCCTGTTTGGGCTTTAATGTGTACCTAAGAGGGTGAAAGGGAGCCCTGGAGCCAGAGGCACACCCCAAACGGGCAGCCATTGAAATGTGGTGACCGTTAGCTTGGTCAGGCTCCAGATGCTCTCTGCAGCCTGTAGGGAGTATAGGGAGGAGTGTAAGAGAAGGTGAGGAGTGGAGAAAGGCCTCCCGTAGACAGTGTGTCCTTCTGTCTGGCTTATAGCCCTCTGAGTCCCAGCCTCAGTTGACTTGGGTTCCCCACTGCCTTCTCCTTGGCCAGCTGAAGGCTGTGAGACTGCAGTTCATCTCCCCTGGCCCAGGGTGCAAGGAAGGGGCACGGGGGCTCAGGATGAATGTAAATGCTTTGTCTCTGAACCCGGTGACCCAGTGTTTCTGCCCAGCCTCCAGTGGCAAGGTATGGAGGTGGCCCGGGCTGTCTTTTCCCGATGGCGGCTGTGTCCAGTGGAGGGCGTTTTGGTGTCGGCTGGGCTGGGCTAGCTTTAACAACAGGAAGTGGGAGGCTTCCCCGCCTCATCCGCTTACTGGGAACCAAAAGTAGGTGCCTGGCTGGGAGGAAGGAAGGAAGCTGAGGCCTGGGGGAGGGGCTGCAACTGGGGCTGCCTGGAGCTTCCCAGCCCTGCCCCCCTGCCTCCCCCTCGCCGGGGCCAAGAGGGCTATGGGTGCTGCCTCAGCATTTGAACTCCCCCAACGAGGGAGGAGAGTAGAGAGAGGGAAGCAGGCTTCTCCAGGCTGAGCCTGGCTAGTGAGTACCTCTATCCTTCCTAAAGGCCCCTCCCCATCTGGGTAGGTGCACCTTTCTCCTCGTTTGACAAGTGAAGGGAGTGAGACCCAGGAATCCCTTAGGAGTCAGTGGGACAGGATCAGCCACCAGCCACACCCTGAAAAGGCCAAAAATAAAGCCAGCAGAAACAGACTCTCTCTGGATCACCTGGAGGTGGATTTGGAGGCTAGGCCTTCCTCACATCCTCGTGTCACCCCTGGAAGCTTGTCCCAGCACCCACTTCTCCCACCCCCAATCTCAGGGTCAGACCACACAGCTCCACATGAAGCTGCAGCATCTGTCTCCTCCCCTGATGACCCTGCCCCAGTGCCTTAGCCATGGGGTCCCCTGTCAGTCCCTGAGTCTGGATGAAGCACTTCCTGTATGCTTGATTCTTGGTACCCTTGGTTGGGTAGAGATGGGGAGAGGAGGCTCTGTCAGGACAAAGGCAATGAAGAACAGTGGGTGAGCCTGTGTGTCATCTTGTAGGTAGGCATTGATTGAGTGCTAGCTGTGTGCCTGGCTCCCGGAGGGTTCAGAGTCAGAGTGGTGGGGAGGTCGAGGACCCCACAGCTGCCTCTTGTGAATCTATGTCCCTGGCACAGCTATGGTACACAGAGAGGCAGATGCCCCAGGGTCCAGGAGAGATTATAAGATTGAGTTTTTCGGTAGCTCAGCCAGTATTTATTGAGCTTCTACTATGTGTCAGCCAAAGGAGTCTGAGGGTGGCACTGGGGGAAGTTGGAGGGGGAAGCCGGGAGGATTGGAGGGGGAGCTGGGAGGGTTGGAGGGGAAGGGGAGGGTAAGGTTGTCTGCATCCAGTTGGCTGAGGTAGGAGGTGTCACTGGCACATGGGCCTGCTACGGAAGGTCTAGCAAGCAGGCAGGGTTGGGCCCCATTTAAGCACACCTCACTTATGAAGCTCCATCACAAGTGATAGCATGGCCATTGTCCTAGTCCCTGTATCTTCAGGAGCTGGGGTTAAGGCTGTGGGGACTGGCTGGGCAGAGGGCAGAGTGAAGCACGGGACCAAGCCACCTACTTCCTTCCAGAGGAGGCTCCCTCAGGCTGCTTTCCTGGGAGACTCTCAAGGACAACCCATGGGAGCGGCTCCAGGAGAACCAGCCCAGCCCCCAGTCCCAGGTCAAGGCCTGGCAGCAGCGGGTGCTGAGCTAGGAGGAGTGTGGCCTTGTGCTTGTCACTTTGTCTCTGGGTCTGTTTTCTCTTTGCTAAAATGGGCTCACTGGCCATGGTGCAGATGACTCAAGAGGATGCAGGTGCCACCATGGCAGCAGTTGCAATGAACATGGCTGTGGTAGGATTAGCCGTGATCACAGGCATTACAGTAGTTCATGTTTGTTGATCCCTCACTTGCCTCAGGTTCTTAGGAACCTGTGCATAAATAGGTCCATTTGATAGATGAGGAAACTGAGACATGGGTGTCTAGTGCCTTGGGGCTAAAGTATGCAGAACCTCCACAGCAGTGCTGCTGACCTCTATTTCAAGTTGCTGCCCTACCCACACTGGGCTTGGCCAGGTCTCTCAGGGGTCAGGCAAGACCAGTCAGTGACTATGCTGCCCTCTGTGCCCCACCTGCCCACCCATGTGAGAGGCTCCTTGAAGGAGGCCCCCCCGACCCATGCTAATGTGTTTCAGACGAAGCCCGCTCCAAGAAGTGTGGTGTCCTGGTGCACTGCCTGGCAGGCATCAGCCGCTCAGTGACGGTCACTGTGGCCTATCTGATGCAGAAGATGAACCTGTCACTCAACGACGCCTACGACTTTGTCAAGAGGAAAAAGTCCAACATCTCGCCCAACTTCAACTTCATGGGGCAGCTGCTGGACTTTGAGCGGACGCTGGGGCTAAGCAGCCCATGCGACAACCATGCGCCCAGTGAGCAGCTCTACTTCTCCACGCCCGCCAACCACAACCTGTTCCCACTCAACACGCTGGAGTCCACGTGAGGCCTGGTGCACAGGAGGCATGGCACCAGGCCCCTTCCGGCCCTCCACGGGGCCAGGTGGGAGAGCCCAAGCCTGCTGCTTCTGGCCTGAGGAACCCCCAGGATGTCACCTGTGCCCAGAGGTCCAGGCTGATCCGTGTGTCGGAGCGCCCCTCACCATCCTTGGGGGCGAGGCCCGCAGGCAAGATCTCCCTCTGCAGGGCTTGCTGGAGAGGCCTCGGCTCTCTCAGACACGTGGCTTTGGGCGTCCACCAGGGCCTCACGTTGTCCCAGGATGCTCCTTTCTGCTGATGGCCCAGCCAGTTTGGCTGTTTTTTAAAGACACATCCACGGACCTGAGTTTACTTTTTACTTTTGGCAGGTAAATCCAAGCTCCCTGGAGTACAAGGAGTGTTTGAGCTCTTCTTGATTTTTCTTTTTTTTTTAACAAAAAAGTGTTATTTTCAGGCTACATGCAACAGTGGATTGTATGACCCAGTATTTCATCCCTTTCTTGATCCTGCGAGAGAGAGAAATGTTCTCAGTTTTGTTTTTCGTTCAGTTTCAAAAAGCAAGTATCGTGTTTGTTTTTTAATGGAAAAGACAGACCCCCATGTTGACCTTGACCAAATGCATTTTGCACATGTGTGAAGCCTCTGTTTCCTCAGCGGGCCCTTTTTGAAGGGGTGGCTTACTGCTCTTCAGGTATCGGGACCCCAAGTCATGCCGCCTCCCACCCTTGGCCCAGTCTGACCTGGCCCTGCATTTGCCTGTGATGACCGCTGCAAGTTCTGATTGGTGGGCTGGATGGTGGCCTTTGTATTTTCTTCCCTCTTATCCATCCCTCTGGTGGTCCCTGCAGACCTCCCTGAGGCAGAAGGTGGGGAACCTGGGGCTGTGCCACTGTCCCACAGGAGGTGGGCCGCAGGGGGCTGCCAGGCAGTAGCATTGTCCTCTGGGCTCAGCCTCTACGAGGGCCTGGGCTCTGAGCCCTTCTGTATACTTAGCTACTACTCCTGTCTGTCTGTCTGGCGCTCGCTCTCTCTCTCTCTCTCCCCCTTCCCTCCCCCCCCCTTCCCCCCCCCCCCCCTAACTGGGAGTGGAGGCCCAATGACTGGGGAGAGCTCAGGTGGTGGGGCCCAGCCCTCCCTCCAAGTTCTTCCCTCTCCCTAGCTGTTGCTTTGGTCTGGCTGCCACTCCCAGCCCCTTTGTCCCCATGGAAGCTTGCCCTGCCCTCATCTTGCCCATGCCTTTTACTGCCAGGAGACTTGCACCCATTTCAACCCTCAGGCTGGGGCAAGTGGGGCAAGGATGGACCAGCAGAAATGGGGGTGAGGCTCTGTCCACCTCCCCACCTCCACAGAACAAAGCCACGGATTCCGTTATCTTCCTCCAGTTTTGTTCCTTCTCCAGTCTCAGTTCCACCAGGTGTCAGGACTGCATGGCGGCTTGGGGCAGGGAGAGTGATCGGACCAGAGTCCCTGACAGAGCAGCACTCAGCATGTGAGTGAGGCTGCGGAAACTCTGCCCCACTGCTTCTTACCTCACAGGGGTGGTTTTCAGGGATTCTTTAGGGCAGTAGATTAAAATCTTGCCACAGTCGAGAAATTGACAAGCTTCCATGCTGTACATGGTTCTTTTTCTCTCTTTTATTTTTAAAAAGAAAACCCAGAAAAATGCACCAGGTTTGTGTAAATGAGGGTGTGCCAGAAGGTGGCCAGTTTTGCTTTATGATCTTATGAAGGAAGATTTGTGACCCTACATATATATATATATATATATATATATATATATATATATATATATATACACACATACATATATATATCCCGAACCAGCAACGGGACTTTGTTTATATTGCAAATAAATATTATTTTTTCTTTAAAATGAGTCGTGTCCAGTAAGGGTTTTGGGCCTGGGAAGGAGAGGAAGGAGTGCTGTCGACTGGCATCCTAGTGCCTGCTCTGTGCGAGGCATTGGCCTGGTCCTGCCTGGGGTCTGCTAGGCACTTGGTTAGACCAATCAAGGTGCCCCGCAGATGGGAAGGAGCAGCCAAAGTTTCTGGATGAAGCTGGGGCAGGTGGCATTTCCCCAGCCCTTAGCCATTGGCTGGCAGAGGCTTCAGGGCTTTCTCTGTGGGCTTCTGCTGAAATCAAGGCTTGGAGAGGTTGTATGGAACAAGTTCACACAACTGAGCCCTGACTCGCCCTTCATTGCCCAAGGCTGTCTGCTCGTGCATTGCCTGGATTGCAGCCCCCAAGACCCTGACCCTTTCTCTTGCTGCTGTGTGGGTGAGAGGGGAATCTGCATTTAACCCCTGCAGGTCCTGGGATGTCAGTGGGACTGAATCGTGGGCAGTGAGCAGGCCAGCCCTTCTTTGCTTCTTAAGGGCTAGGTGGCCTTGGACAGGTCCCTTAGCCCCCCAGCCCCAGTGTCCATCTCTGAAGTTGGGTTGATTGCACCCAATTCCTAAATGCTTTTCAGCTTTGTGGCATGACGAGCACATGGTTGGCCTCAGCTCAGAGGGAGGAAACAGCCATGCTCAGGCTTGTACAGGGAAGGGTGAGCATTGACTTCCATCCAGGCTCCCCTGGAGGTGGAGTCTAAGCAAGGCCCTGGGCTGGAGCAGGAAGGAGACCTGGAGAAGGACGGTGGCCACAGCCTGGGGAAGTCAAGCCCCCAGTGGGCAACAAGCCCTGTGTGACAGATTGGGAAATGAAGGCTCTGGAGTGGCTTAGGTCTCCCTTGCCTCTGGCTGGATCAGGTGAGCCCCAGTCAAGGACTTAAGCCTGGAAGCTGACTCAGTTTCCCCATTTCTGCCATTTCCAGCTCTATCCCTTCAGCAGACTGATGAGCACTGAGCTGAACCCAGGTGGAAGGTGGGTGGGCAGTGGCGGGGGGGTGAGGGCTGCTCAGCCTGGGACTTGCCCTGTTGGAGTGCCCAGGCTGTCCTTCTCTTCCCTCCCTCATCTCTGCTCTTCAGTTCCTCTGCACCAGAACACAGTCACAACCATCACTCACTGCCTGTGGCAAGGGGTGGAGGGCAGGTTCTGCCCACTGTGGGACCTGGGTGCAAATCCCAGCTGTGTGACTCCAGTCTTTCAGCTCTCCCCGGAAAAACTCCCATCTGGAGCATGGAAGAATCCTGCCACTCATCCGGCAGGCCTGTGTGGGTGGGAAAGGGGCTTCTCGCTGCGTCCTCGACAAGGGGGTGGTGCTGCTGTTGCTCCCCCGGCTCCCTCCGGGCCCTGTTCCTTCTGTGCCAGGGGCAGGCAAGGGGGTGGGGGCCTGAGCAGGCAGAGACTGGGCCTTTGTTCCCTCTTGCTGCCCTTGCCCAGGCCTGGGGAAGCCCGCGGGTGCTGGGCTGGGGGCTGGGCCCTCAATAAGCCGAGTAAGTGCCTGGCAGTACCAGCGTGCCCAAGCACAGGACAGGGTGGGGGTGGGAGCGGCAGCCGCCTCCTGAGCGGGCTCTTCAGACCAAGGACTGGGAGTGCCTGAAGAGGGCCAGCCCCGTCACTTAGCCCTGTGCACTCTGGGGCCAGTGGTCTCTCTGACCGCGTGTCCTCATTACCTATAGAAACTCCTACCTCAGCATTGGGTCTGGCTAAGATTCCCTGCTGGAGGAAGGAGGGCTAGGTCACGGCTGAGTGGCTGGGCTTTGGGTCCTTGCTCTGTGACCTTGGGCTGGGCCACGCTTACAGGACTGAGGTTCCCCTCCCCCAGTTTCAGGCTCCCATCTCATGGCTCCTGGACCTGAGCGCCTCTTACCCCACCCTGGTTATGCCGTGCTCTCCCCAGCTTGCTTCCTCCAGGCCATCCGCGACTGAGGCCCTCGGTGCTGCCGCCCTGTGCTCTGGGACATTTGGCTCTCTGGGGGTGCACCTGCTCCATCTCTGTCCCCAGTCCCATTGCTCTCCTGAGCCACTTTGCCTCATTGGTCCCTGTTTCTGCCTCTGTCTCAGCCGGGGCCCCAGGGACCTCATCCGCTCCTCAGCCGCTTAGTGTTCTCACAGGAGGAGGATCGGGACACTTACTCACTTACACATTCACCCAGCAGCCATTTCCTGTGCCGGCTGGGCAGTCCCAGGGAGGGAACATGCCCGAGGGAAGCTCGGTGATGTCACGCGGGGTGGCAGGATAATGGGGCCCTCAACTTGTCCTCTGATAATGAAACAAGTGCAACGTGAGGACTGACTCAGGCTGGTTGGAGGCAGCACTTGGAGCGCTGTGAAGCGGCCACCTTGAAGGGGTTCTGACAAGGAGACCACAGGAGAGATGAACCTTTCCCTAGGGTGGTCCTGCTCTGAGCTTGGGAGTGGGAGAGGGCCCTGCTCTGCCTGCCACCCCCACAGGGCCCCTCCCCAGAGGGCAGTCACGCCTCCTGAATGGAACAGGGTGGTGGTGGGCGGCAAGCCTGCGCTGGAGCCTGTCCCTCCCTGCCGCTGCCCCTGTGCTGCGCACCTGGGCCAACACCATGACTGCATTGTACCTCCCTCTGTGTCAGCATGGATGTGTCTGGGACACCAACACCTATCCCCAGACCCTTGGCAGAAGCCAAAGGACCTGACATGGGAGCCAGCTTTCTCTGGAGGGAGCACATTGGCATGCTGACCTCTGGGTACCCCGCTGGAGGGTGTCTTTGATGTCTTTGCCCCTGCTTTTTCTGGGCTCCACCAGGACACAGGGCTCTCACCTGACTCCTGAGACCCAGCCCGAGGGCCCTGGGAAGGCTCGGAATCACTCTGCTCCCCAGCCCTGAGTGGACGGGGAAGGTGAGGTTTGCAAAGAGGTTTGCCTCATAGAGTGAGGCAAGGTAGAAGCTGGGCACCCCCCTGCTGCCCCGAGGCTACACACACACACACACACACACACACACACACACACACACACGGTATCGCCATCCTCTGACTAGACAAGCCCATGCAGGTCTCACAGCAATGGAGGCGCCGCCTGCCTCTGACTGTAGCCTCCTGTCATCCGGGTGTGTCCTGGGTGAAGTCATCCCTTTCCAGGAACGGCCATTAAAGACTATCATTAGCAACTCTTAGAGGCCTCAGCCCCATTGTCTGTGGCTGGGTCAGATGAGCCCCAACAGGTGTCATGCAGACTCCAGCCCTTGCTAGAACTCCTGTTTGCCCAGGCAGCCAGCCTCCTACCCAGGGCTATCCGAGAGCACACATCCAAGGGCCACTGTCTGCTGTGTACCTTCTGGGCATGTGTGGGGTCCCCACACACTTCCCTCTCTCCGAGCCCTCATCTCTTCCTCTGGCTTCAAGGCTGCAGGCAGAGGAGAAGCTGCAGTACCCTTCCGCAGGACATGGTGGGCCAGGGAGAAGCCTCTTTATGGGGCAGGGGAGCCCCTAGAGGGCTTCAGGCACAGGGCCATCGGGGTCAGGCTGTCACAAGGAAGGTCTAGTTGCTGTGTGGAGAGCAGCCTGAAGGGCAAGTGCACAGGCCAGGAGACGGAGGAGGCTGGGGCAGTCATTCAGGTTGGGTCAGGAGGGCTGGAGAGGGTGCGAGAAGGATGCAGCTGCAGACCAGCAGGACTTGGGCCCCATGGGAATCAAGACCGCTGGTGTGAGCAGAGGGTCCCAGCTTGTCTGAAGCCACATCCACAGCCCGAAAGCCAGCCGCTGTGCCACACAGAAGGATGCAGTTTAGCTGGGGCATGCATGGGCCCACGGGACCCTGAGCCCCACTCACCTCCCCTTAGGGGAGTTTGCCCCACCCTCACTGTGCAACCACATGCCGAGGGCCCAGGGAGGGCCAGGGGGCCCCAAGATCCTCATGCATTCTGGAAACTCCCCCAGGACAGCACAGCTCTGATGGCTGGTCTCAGAGCCTCGGTCTCCTCATCTGTACAGTGGGGACAAGAATTGCTGACTCAAGAGGAGACAGCAGGATGAAGGGTCTGTTGCTCAGCTAGACCTCGGGAACAGGAGCCCAGGTGAGTTCATTCAGCTGTGGCCTCCTCACCCACCCCTGCAGATGGGTGCCTCCCAGCCTAGCCATTGCTAATTTGAAATTTTTGGTGTGATCTCAGACAAGCATCCTCCACCATTCAGTCCTCAAATACCCTGATTCCACTGACGAGAGACAGAATAATGACCCCGAGGGACCTGGCCCTCAAATTCAGCACTGCACTCCTTTAAGCCCATCTCTGGTCCCCCAGTTCACGTGCCCGGAACCTAGTTCACTCCTCTCCCCACAGAACCTGGCATGGTTCTGTGGAGGAACTACAGGGGCAAAGGCCCAGCTCACACTTTTCCCCAGGCCCCTGGTGCCAGGCCCCTGCAGCCCTATTCCCTGGCTGCTGAGAAAGAGGCAGGCTGGACACCACTGTCCCTCCCTCCCTGGTTGCTGGGACTCAGGTGGTCTCACCAGCACCTCTGGGCAGGGAGTGTGGGTGTGGTTCTTCCACATCTCAGATTCTTTCCTTGGGCCTCATGCCCAGAAGTGGCATTTCTGGGACGAACACCTGTTCTGCATTTCTTCAGACTGGCTTCTGAAAGGAAAGCAGAGTTGTTTGTTTTTTACGTTCAGCTGTTACTGTTGCTGATTTAGAGAAGCCATGTGTTGGCAGTGCCAGGCACACGGCAGGGGCCCAGGAAGGCACCGGGGGCTGAATCATTCCTCGACGTGAGCTCCTGCTATGGCTGCCCCTCATGCCTGGCCCTGCCTGGGAGCCATTCCGATGTAGTCGGTTGCCTGGAAGTTCAAATTGCAGTGAGAACTATAATAATAAAAACACAGCCATGGCCCCTACTCTGGGCCAGGTGTCCTGCAAGCTTTACATGATGAACTCACTTTATCTCCCCAGCAGCCCTCGGAGGGAGGTGCTGGATTATCCCTCATGGACAGATGAGGAAGCCAAGACAGAGAGCCATAAAGCCATGTGTCAGGAAGGAGCCCCACCGGGTTCTGGGCACAGACTCCCTCTCCTCCCTTCCTCTTTCCTTCCCTCCCTTCTCTCTCTCTGTCTTCTTTCTTTCTTTTCTTTTCTGACAGTCTCACTCTTGTCACCCAGGCTGGAGTGCTGTGGCATGATCTCGGTTCACTGCAACCTCCGCCTCCCAGGTTCATTCAAGAGATTCTCCTGCCTCAGCCTCCTGAGTAGCTGGGATTACAGGCGTGAGCCACCACGCCCATTTTTCTATTTTTTGTATAGATGGGGTTTCACCGAGTTGGCCAAGTTGGTCTTGAACTCCTGACCTCAAGAGATCCACCTGCCTGGGCCTCCCAAAGTGCTAGGATTACAGGTGTGAACCACTGTGCCCAGCCTGTCTGCTCTTTGCCTGAGTTTAGCTCACATCTCCTCCTCCAGGAAGCCTTCCCTCACCTTGTCCCCCAGCTGTGGTTCTGGTGCCTCCTCCGGCTCCCATGCCCTCCGTGCAGGCCCATCCCTGGAGGTCTTGGTGGCCAGGGCGCTGTGTCCAGCTGGACATCATCTGGCCATATGTCGGGGGCACCTCTGGGAACTTACCTAGCTCTGGGTGTCAGACCTGCGTGACCTGTGCACAAAGAGGTGTTGTCCTGGAGTATCTGCCTCACTGCGTCCCTCACATGTCCCATTGTGACTGACTGCATCTGCCCAGGCCTTTGGTGGTGCTCAGGAGCTGGGGCTGGTGCCTCTGCACCTCTGACCAGGCCTCCTCCTCTGCAGCCGTGTTCACTGCTCCTGTGCCCACCATGACCGCCTGCCCTCCCCTCTGTCAGGTTCCAGCCAGAGAAGGGTCTGGCAGCTCCTGTTTATAAATATCTGCCACTGCCACAGCTAAGTGGAGGGGTCTGGAGGCCACACTAATTGATTAATTAAACCCTTTCGGTTAATTAGCTCTGTCCCTCCAGGGAAAAAAGTCTAGAGCTGGAGCCAGAGCCTCCTCTGGGCTGGGGGAGGGTCTAATTAGCTTGGGTCAGGCTGAGCCTGATGCCAGCTGCTGGGGGCAGTGGAGAGCCCAAGAGGAGAGTAGTTCTGGACACTGAAGCCAGTGGGCCACCTAGGGCGGGGAGAAGGAGACACTTCAGCCCAGACCAGCCACTCCTGACCATCCCTGCCCTGAGGCCAGAGGCAGTGGGACCCGGAGGAGGGAAAATGTGTGCTCAAGGGGGCAAAAGGGTGGAGGCTGGATCTGGGGAGGTCTTGACTGTGATCTGTGTTCCTGCACAGAGGCCGAAAGAGGATCCAGACGAGCCACCACCCCGGCTGCTGCAGCGCAGGGAAGGCCTTGAATGACACACGAGAGCTTGGAATTTCTCTGGACGTGGCATGGCAGGTTTGAAGCTAGGGTGGGATCCAATTCAGTTTTGGTTTCAGAAAAGTCTCACGGGGGACAGCTGCTCAGGGAGAATGGATTAAAGGGGAGGGAGGAATGGGGGCTTGGAGAAGCGGCCTCAGGTTTCCAGAGAGAATGGAGGTCCGTCATGTCTGGGGCTGGTGGGGAGCGAGGTCTAGTCTGGGCATCAGCCCACTAGCTTGTGCTGAATGGCCTGGGGCCGCCCAATTCCCTTCTCTGGCCCTGTCTCCCGCCATCTACAAGGTGCCAGGGTTGGGGAGTGAGGAGATGTTCCTGAAGCCACAGCCTCAGGATGTGAAGGTCACTGGCATGTTTCCTTGTCCCGGGATAAAGCACCCTCTTTATCCCCCAACCCCCAGCTGTCCTTGGTACTGGCAGGTGTCCGACCTAGCAGGGTTCACATGTATGTAGTGTACCCCATTTGTGATGTATTCCAGAAAGGAGAAAGGAAGGGAAGGGAGGGGGACACTGTGGCGGGGGAGGGATACCTGTGCCCAAGCTGGCCCTGGCCCTGGCCCTGGCCCTGGGAGGAACTGGCCATGGGTAGGAGCAGGGAACCTAGGACACCCCGACCAGCCACAGGCAGCAGGCAGGGCTGCTGTGCTGGCATGAAGCCTGCTCTGGGCCGGTCCTCCAGCTCCCTGAGTGGTTGCCCAAGTGGGAACAATGACCCTTTCACGTCACACCTCCTCCAGTCACAGCAACTTTGGCGCCGCAGGACAAAGGGGCCATTTCATCATTGTCGGGCTGGATCAACAGCCCGCCTGCCTGAGTCCTGCTGCCCCCACCCAGCCGGGCCCGGGAAGGGAGGCTGACTGCCCAGCCTGGCCAGAGCCTGGGACCATCTTCTATCTGGCCCAGCCACACCCATCCCAGGATCCTCCTCACTTCCCTCACCTTTGCCTTTTGGGCTCACTGCTGGCCTTCTGTGAAGACACCTGGCTCTGCTCTGCTCTTTCCCCTCCCCGAGCCTTGGCCTCCCCATCTGTGGAAAGGGGGCTGGGAGAGATGGGCCCCCAGGCTCCAATCAAGTCTGTGACTCTCAGGTGTAGGCCTTTCTACTTGTACTCTCTGCCCCCAGCCAGCCCCCAAGAGGGAGCATTGAAGTGGGATGAGGCAATGCCTCCTTGTGGAGGGGTCCCTGGCCCATAGGGAACAGGAAATAGAAGGGGCCTTGTGGTCTGAGTCCTTGCCAGGCCCATGCCCAGCCTTTTGTTGCCAGTGACTTTCCATGATGTGAGCTAGCCTAAGGCCATTTTTGCTCACTTTTGGGCTAGCCTGAGCCCTCCATGGATACTAGTCTGTACAGAGGCCCAGGGGGACAGGGCTCTAGCCAGGGTAGACTCTCCCCCATTCCCAGCCCTGCCTCCTGCCTTCATTAGGGACTAGGGGTTTGGGACCTGAGCTCCACGCTTCCTCCCTTCTCCATGTGGCCTGGGTTTGCTGGGGGCTTCCTAATGGAGAGAGGAGTGGGAGGCCTTGTCTTGCTCTTGATGAAAAGATCCCAACTTGGGACCAAGACAGAAACTGTACCTCTCACCCGACATGGTCAGAGCTAGGTCAGGAAAAATGGCTGAGAATCCAGCCATCAGGGACACAAGCCACATCCTCAGAAACAGGAGCTGTGGGACAGGCTGGTGGCCTCGTGGAGGGTGTTCACAGCCTTGGCCTGCAGACGGCAATAGTGCTGATAATCATCACCCAGGGGTGGGCAGGGAAGCTTGATTTGCAGAGCCCCGTGGGATGCAGATGATTCTGTCAAGGCTGATGGGTCTGGGGCTCACCCTGGGCCATCTGTGAAGCACAAGCCATCCAGGCATCCTGTCTTGAGAAGGCTCTGCTGCCCGGGCCTGGATTGCCCCTGCTGCTCAACCAAGCAGACTCAACCCTGGTGGGCTCTTTCTAACTCAGGAGTGGACTCTTGATGTTGGGGAGGAGGACGCCAGGGGCAGCTGTGTTCCAAAGTCTTTCCCACTTTCCAGATGAGAATCCCAAGGCTCAGAGAGGTCCAGTGACATCAAAACCACACGGCAGGTGGGGGCAGAACAAAGACTCAGCAACTGGGTCAGGATGAAGCTGGGGTCAGGCTGGTCACCACAGGGGTGTGGTCTCAGGGTGACACCCCTGGGCACTGGGCAGTACATGGCCAGTAAGGGCAGACATGGCTGCATGGATGCGGGAGACTGGCCCACCCAGGCCTGCTCTGCAGTCCCTCCAGCTGCCCATCCCCGCAGCCATGGTCACTGCCAGGTCAGCAGCACTACACACACATTGCCCATTTGCCCTGCCTCACTTCCTCTGACTAAGGCTAAAGACTCACCCCTTCAGGGACTTGAGGCCTGGCACTTGTTGGCAGGAAATGCCCAGCCCAGGCTCCCTAGAGCCTGCCTGCCCTGGCACCCTCTCTGGGTTCCTTGGCAGAGGCTGCCAGGAGCACCTGGCACGTGGTGGAGGTGGGGCTGCTACCCTGGTTTGAGGGTGCTGGGCTCAGTCTGGACCAACATCAGGCAGTCAGGGGTGGAAGTGGGTGCTCTCTTGCCCAGACCTGGCCAAGGGCCCCTCTGTCCCAGCTGCCAGTCTTGCTGCCACCTTAGCCTAAAGTCCTTGGGGCCTAAAGCCTCCTCGAGTGTCGTCAAGCCCAAGACCAGGGAGGGGGTCAGGCGCTGAGCCCCCAGCAGAAGGGGAAGGCCTGGGCTCTGAGCTCATTTTCAACCTCCTTCAGTTCCAAGGTAGCCCCTGAACTGTGTCCATCCAAGGAAATGAGAGGTCAAGGCTACCCCAAGAAGTCTGGGAGAGAAGTGGGAGCCTGGCCTCATGACACTGGGGGTTGCCTCCTCTGGGATCCCTGGATGATCTGTGGCAGCTGCCATCACGGAGGGGTAGGAGAAGGGATGGGCTTCAGGCAACTTTTGGATCCAAGGTGGGGCCACAGCTCCAACATAGCCAGCTCCAGCCTCTGCTCTAGGTTCAGGCCCTGCGGTGGCCAGCACCTGGCTGAGCTGGGCTGTGCTAGGCAGAGGAGGCTGCCGGGGCCTGAGGGTGAAGCACAGTTGGCCTGAGTGTTGCTCAGCCGGCGGGGCCAGGAGGCTGAGGCTCTGAATTCTGACTCCAGCTCTCCTCCAGAAGGACTGTGAGCCCGCAGCCAGGTCCCTGGCCTTTCTGGGCCTCAGTCCCCCATCTGCACACTGGCTGGACTCCTATAGAGGCTACTCGCAGTCTAGACACTCCAAGTTCTTGTATCTTACCTGCTAGACAGAACACACCAGTAGGCCCCCAACACTCACCCTGCCTGTCCTGAGGGTTTCTGGGAGGGGATCCTGCTCTGTCCTCAGACCCTGTCCTCCCGTGAAGAGGCACTCTGACAAAGGTACAATGATGTTCTGATGGCAAGCCTAGCCGGGCTGTATCGGGAGCAGGTGATAGGGTCCTCGAAGAGGTGGGGAGACCTGGCCTCAAAAGGCCAGCCTAGTAGACCTTATTCCACACTTACATGGCACTCTATGCTGAAAACATTTTTGCCACTCAGACAATATAATACTGGGGGTGCTGAAAGTGCATTGGTGGGCCTGGGATAGGCAGAAAGTCCATTGCAGCCCAGCCCCTCCTCCCACCTTCCCCCAGCCCAGCAGCCTCTACCCCTGAACCTCCTGAGCACCTCTGTCTGTACAGGTGTCGCTCCACTGGCACCTGGGGTTGGCGAGTGGTCGGTGCGTGATCCAGCCCTCCCGTCTCTGGGCCTCAGCTGCCACCTTTCTGCAGTAAGGGCACCTCCCGCTCAAGGGCTGTGGTGAGGATCAGAGACCTCCAATGAACAGAAGCTCTGAAAACTGCCCGTAATCTCAGCGCTTTGGAAGGCTGAAGTGGAAAGATCACCAAGGGGTTCGAGGCTGGCCTGGGCATCATAGTGAGACTTCATCTCTACAAAAACAAAAAATAAAAAATTAGCCAGGTGTGATGGCACCTCTAAAGTAGCCCAGCTACTCTAGAGGCTGAGGTGGGAGAATCCTTTGAACCTGGGAGGTGGAGGCCACAGATCTGTGATTGCACCACTACTCCAGCCTGGGCAACCAACAGAGCAAAATCTTGCCTAAAAGAAAAAAAATATGGCCAGGCACGGTGGTTCATGCCTGTAATCCCAGCATTTTGGGAGGCCAAGGCAGGTGGATCACCTGAGGTCAGGAGTTTGAGACCAGCTTGGCCAACACGGTGAAACCCTGTCTCTATAAAAAAAATACAAAAACGTAGCCAGGTGTGGTGGTGGGTGCCTGTAATCCCAGCTACTAGGGTGGCTGAGGGGGGAGGATCGCTTGAACCCAGGAGGTGGAGGCTGCAGTGAGCCGAGTTTGCCCCACTGCATTCCAGCCTAGGCGATAGAGTGAGACTCCATCTCAAAAAAAAAAAAGCCCTGGACACAGTCAAGCCAGGTGGTGGGCATCGTATATGGCAGTATTCCAGTGGGGTGAGCTCTGCACAGCTGAGAGTCTGGCTTTGAGTCAGACTGCTTTCCAGTCTCACCCTCGGAAGGTCTCAGCTCTGTGCCCTTGGGCAGGGCACTTCCCTTCTCTGAGCCTCATTTAAATAGGGAGCATAAAGGGACGTGTCTCATCAGGTGTGGGGAAACTTGTCTGAACCACCAGGCCCTGGGGGATGAAAGCAGCTGGTATTGGGCTGTGCCTGCTGGGGGATGGGAGCAGTAGAGCCCAGGCAGCTCTCAGTGCCCCGAGGCCTGTGGGCTGGGGGTGGGTTCAGTGCCTCACGCTGCTGGGAGAAGATCCCTGGGGATGAACCTTCAGGGGCTGTCTAAGCAACCATGGTGGAGCAAGCCCCGGCTAGAGGATGGGGTTATAGAAATGCTGCCTTGCAGATGGGGGACATCGTCTGGTGCCCCTGCAGGTGGCTGGGAGGAGCAGGATGCTGGGCCACTCTGCCCTGGCACTAGGTTGCAGGGAATAGAGGGCAGAGAGAGACGCAGGGGTCAGGCCCAGAAGGAAGTTGGCCTCAGGCATTTTTCCTCTGGCAGCAGGGCTCTGTGAACTCTGCAGTCTGAGTCTGACCCTGGGCTGGCGGTGTCCTGGGACTCCAGCCAGTGCCCAGTGGGTTCAGTCATGCTTCCCCTCCCAGAAGAACTCTCCCTCCCAAGCACCTGGGCCAGCAGTAACCACCGCCTCAAGCCGAAGACTTCGAAGAAGTGCTTCTAACTCATCCACCAGGTTCCTACCAGACTCTGAGTGTGGAGACGGAAGCACAAAGAAATTCAGTGACTTAGAATGTGAGGGAGGGGACCCCAAAGCCCCAGCCCTTGGCTAGACAGGCAGGATGGAATGAGGATGCTCCATCCTGGGGTCAGGCCCAGCCCTAGAGAGCCATAGAGACAAGGTCATCCTGAGACCCATCTTTCCTGACTCCCTCCTGTCCCCAGCTGGCTGCCTCCTGCATGGCTGGCATCGTCTCTTCCAGTAAGCTGCCCAGCCCCAGGCTGAGTTAAATGCCTTCGCTGTGCCCACCACCCTGTCCTGGTACTGTGGGGCTTGTTTGTCTATGGGAACACCCATGAGACCCCTCGAGGACAGGGCGGGCTCACCCACTCCTGTGTTCCCACGGAGGGAGCAAGGGAAGCCTGGAGAAGGGGCCATGAGGCAGTGGCGTGGGCTGTGATGTCACAGCAGGTCTTTTTATCCTAGGGGAGCTCAGGTGGCCTCGTCCCAGGCCACAGGTATGACTGATCTTCTGGAATGGGGGTGGGATGGCGTCTCAACTCTCCCTGGTTGCCTGGTAACCCAAGGGTGGGGATCTGGAGATGCTTTCTGCAGGCCATTTGGAAACTTGAATCAAAAGACCTAAAAATATGCACAACCTTTAACCCAGGAATCCCATTCCTGGGAATCTGCCCTAAGAAAATCACAGCTTGAAGGAAGGGAGAAGTGGCATGGTGAGCCTCTAACTTGTTCTGTGATCCCAGGTTCACACTGGATCCGGCAGCTGTTGTCTAGCCTCCCGCAGTGAGGTTGTTCCGTCCCATTGGATCATGTCCATCATCCTCCCCAAAGAATGCGGCCCACTGTGCCCAGGCCTGTGTCACATATCCATGGGCCTTCCCTGTCCATCCTCCACCTTTCTGAAACTGAGGCTTCTCTCTGCCCAAACATGGGCATCCTAGAGGCCCCCTCCTCCAGGGAGTCTGTTCAGATTTCATCCATGGGCATTTTGCACCCTGTGTTCCACCCCAGGTGTATGTCTTTGGAGGTCTCTTTCCTCCCTGTGGGTATGATGGGGCTCCACTCTCCATAGTGCTGTTTTACCACTTCCTGCTGAATTCCAAGAGTCTCTGGAGGGTGTGAGACTGGGCTGCTGTCCTTCCCTAGGGGGACAGGGACGGGGTGGGCACCATGACAGCACTCCTGACGTGTCAGCCTCATGCTCCCCCTCTTTCACTGTTCCCAGCCTCAACATAGCATAGCCTGGGATGGATGCCTTGACACAGGCTAGGCCTCCCTCTTCCCCTCCCTCTCGAGGCCCTGGGAAGTTGGAGGGCTGGACGGGCCCTCAGGGGGTTCCTCACCCTGCCTCCAGCCTCTGCTGCCTACAAAGTCTATTCTTTCCACAGGAAGTGAGTGGAACCTCTGCCCTGTGTTCCCTGTAAGTTCAAGAGACAGAGGTGGCTGGCTGCAGTGGCTCATGCTTATAATCCCAGCATTTTAAGAGGCCAAGGAGAAGGACTGCTTGAAACCAGGAGCTTGAGACCAGCCTGGGCAATATGGTGAGACCCCATCTCTACAGAAAATTAAAAAATTAGCCAGGCATTGGCTGGGTGCAGTGGTTCACGCCTGTAATCCCAGCAGTTTAGGAGGCTGAGGTGGGTGGATCATGAGGTCAGGATTTCAAGACCATCCTGGCCAACATGGGAAAACCCTATCTCTACTAAAAATACAAAAATTAGCTGGTTGTGGCGGCGTATGACTGTAATCCCAGCTACTCCAGAGGCTGAGGCATGAGAATCACTTGAACCTGGGAGGAAGAGGTTGTAGTGAACCGAGATCGCCCCACTGCACTCCAGCCTGGTTACAGAGCAAGACTTTGGCCAAAAATAAATAAATGAATAAAATAGCCAGGCATGGTGGCATGCACCTGCTCAGGAGGCTGAGGTGGGAGGATCATTTGAGCCCAGGAGTTTGAGTCTGCTGTGAGCTGTGATCCTACCACTGCACTCCAGCTTGGAAGACAGAGTGAAACCCGGTCTAAAAAAAAATAGAAAGAAAAGAAAAGGAAAAGAGAGTGAGTGAGAAACAGAGACATAGGCTGCTGGGCAAGGAGCACAGCCCAGTGAGAAGGTAGTAGTTACTCGTTGAGCACCATTTGCCACCCTGGACAGCTTAAGTTGTGACACCTGATTCTCAGCAGTCGCAGGCCAACTGACTCAAGGGGGAGGAGCCCACGGTTTAGCCCCTCCTGTGTACCAGGCTCTGTTCTAGCACACACCACTTTATTTCATCCTCATGGGAAGGAATTATTCTCCCCATCTTTCAGGCAATGAAACTGGGATGTACCGGGAGTTTCAGGCACGCAGCCAAGGAACTCAGCTATAATCCACAAACAGTGATGGGCGGGGAAGCCCTTGAAGGCATGAGAACAGGGAGGGGGCATAGGCCAGGTGGAGGCCCCTGAGGGACTCAGCGCCTGCCCTCCTGAGACCTTGCAGGGTTACTCATGCTGCCACAGCAGGTGCTAGCGGTGTCTGCTCTGGCCTTTCCCAGCCACACAGGCCCAGGCCCTGGCTTATCCCCCACAGCCTCTGCTGCAGCCTCAGGATGTGCCTGGAATTCCAAAGCTGAGCCGCAGAGACCATCTGCCCGGAGCCTAGCTGGCTCCAGGCAAGGCCGTGTTGGTCTCTTCACACTGCATGAGGTGCTGTGGCCTCAGGGGTCCCCGCACAAGAAAAGGAGAGTGAATAACCTAAGGCCACCTGCTCCTGCCCCCACCACACCCCACCCCAGGACCTGGGAGAATGGTGCTGGGGGCAGCAGAAGCTCCTGCAGAGCCCTCAGCCCCTCTCTGCAAGCTGGCAGCTGTCCAGCCACCCACTAGGGCTCAGAGCCCTGTCCAGAGGGCTGAATGCAGAGCCAGGCAGGTGTGCCTGAGCCTTCTCACCTGGTGTTCTGTGGGCTCAGACAAAGAACCCTGTGCAAAAGTGGCTGCCCTCCACTGAGGGCCACAGATGCCCTCTGCATGGGCTGAGCAGGCCATCGCAGTGGAGTTGAGCCTGTAGGTTTAGGACAAGCCTGGGTTGGAGCCCCAGCTCTGCCACTTACAGTTGTGTAACCTTGGGCACTACCCTGCTAAGCTCCAGACTCCTCATTAGGAAAATGGGGAGTGTGAGACCAGAACCCCTGAGGTTTAGGTGGGGCAGTGTGGGGCCTGGCGTGATCATGAGAGCACAGTCTGTTTGGTGAGGCCTTGCTCTGTGCAAGCTCTGCATGAAGCCTTTTGTATGCTTTCATCCTCATGGAAAGAAATTCTTCTCCCCGGGGTGTACAATGCATCTTCACAAATAGCCCACGAGCTATACCTGTTCTCCAGATGTGTGTGGCACTCTGCCTCTTACAGATGAAGAAACTGAGGCTCTGCAAGGCTAAGGCACCCCTGTGATCGGGAAGGAGGAATGGAGTTAGGGAAGCTCTTTACACGGCAGCCTGTTGCAGCTATGGGCTGAGGGCAGGAATGTGGTGTGTGACTGAACAGCGTGATGTGTCATATTATGCGGCTGGTGCCACTGAGGACTCCTCCTCTGGGACCTCCGACAGAGAGGTGGGAGCAAGCAGGATAAAAGAAGAGAGGAAGGGAGGAGGAGGGAGCTGCTGGAGAGGGCGGAGCCAAGGCCCCAGGACTGCCATGGACCTGCCAGGACACCATGCCCTAGACCTGGGCCCAGCCCACCAGCCCCTTCATCACAGCCAGGTAGGCAGTGAGGCCCAGGCAGAGAGAGAGGCTTGGAGGGTCCCTGTGAGGGGGTGGGGGAGCTCTGTGTATGTGCAGGCATGCAGACATGTGGCAGTGTGGTCCTGGGGAACAACACCCACTGCTCTTGCTCTGCTACAGACACTGGCTGAGCTCAGCTTCCCAGCACTCCCTCATTTAACTTCATTCTCATGATCCTGGGAGATTTGCCCAATTATTTACCACTGTTTTACAGATGAGGAGCTGAGGCCCAGGGGAGTTGAAATTCCTGCCCACAGTCACAGAGCACCCA